GAGAGAGAGAGAGAGAGAGAAAGGTCATGTGACTGGAAGCACAGGTCTCACCTGTTTCATGTTTCTGTCTTCAGTGTCCCAGCATGCCTCAGGGGTGGAGGTGTACGAGGGGGCGGAGTCTGTCCTGCTGTCCTGTCAGGTACCAGCTAATGTTTCCAGGAGCTCCACAGCAGCAGTGTGGAACCGTGATGGGTTCAAGAACCCAACGGTTCACCTGCGTAGGCAGAGTGGTGACGATCTTAGTGGTCAGAATGATCTTTACCACCATCGAACATCAATGAGAGTCGACGCTCTGCAGACTGGAGACCTCAGCCTCACTCTGAGGAAGCCCACAGTCTCTGACAGTGGAACCTACACCTGCAGTGCTGTCAGCTATGGAGACAGGTTGAGGCAGATTGAAGTACATCTGAAGGTCACAGGTGAGTGGACAGAGGTCAGATTGATGTGAGTTCATACAAACATGTTGATGATGTTCATGTCTCCTGTGTTTGTGTTACAGAACCTCCTCCAGTCTGGCCCACAGCCCTCGCAGCTGTGCTGGTCACTCTGATCATCCTGGCTGCTGTCATTGGTCTGTTTGTGTGCTGTGCATACAAAAGGAAGAAGGAGAGAGAAGGTGTGTGTGTGTTTTATAATGTGTGTGTGTGCGTTTCCACAGAGCAGACCAACAAGTGGAAGCAGCAGCCATCACCTTCACCTGTTACTCAGTAACACATTCAGTCATTCAGTTGTTGTGTTCATCTTCTCAGTAACAATAATGAATCCTGTCTCGATGCGTGCTTTCAGGTAAGTATCTCCCAAACACTGCCTGACTCTGTGGCCTCCTTTCATCTTTCTCACAGCTGAAAATGTGCTGAGGAACTTTCCTCTGTGACATCTTTCCTCTGTGTATTCGAACACTTTGATAGCAGAGCCTTGAACTCACACTGATGGAGCACATTAGAAGCTTCACCCACATCCTGGAGGTTTAACACGGAGCTGCTCTTGTAGATCTGAACTGATTGTCTGATAGCGACTGAGGTCACATGACTAATGTGACCTCAGAGCACTTTCCCAGGATCAGCTGGTCTGAGCAGCTTCAGTGATTCAGGGTCCTTAGATGGAAGAGCAGATCCTCTGCCACCAATCACAGACCTGTTCCTGAGGTTCTTCTACAGCTGAGCTGTTACTGACTCTCCACTTTGACCAGCAGCTCTCAAACCAGCTTCTTTCAGCACTTACTGCTGTACTCTGGGGAATCAGTCCAGAAGTGTTTGTTACATAGTAGCAACAGATATTATTTTTCACTTAGTAGCAGCTCATTGCAGCTTAAATGGGGATCAAGATGGCGCCGGTGTCCATGGCTGCTCGTCTGTGGCTTATAGTTTTGTTTGTTCTTATATTGTTTCTGTCATGTGACACTCAGGAAATCTGCTTTCTACTGGTGTGATCGCCAGCCGCTTCTGAATCTCTGAAGTTCTGATCAAAACATCCGTTTGCTAACGCAGGACAGAGTTCCTGGTGCCCGCTGCTGTCACATATCCTGACCGGCCGTGCTGTCATGCTACCTCCCCAGCGAAGGCGTTGGGGTAGGCGCAGTGGCTGGCTGGTTAAACTCAAGCTTTCCTAATAATACAGAGATTATTTTGTGGAGTTTTTGTGCACCGACGTTCCCTGGACCCCGTGGGTTCCTGCCTCATCCCCGTGGTCGGCCAGGATGACGCACCGCTCCTTTGTGACCCCTGTCCTCCTCGGCGGATGATCTGATATCCTCGTGTTGGTGTTGTTCCCAGACCATCATGAAAATGTTGTTCCAGGTTCAACATTGCAAGTGACCAATCACATTGTTGTGACGTTATTCTTTTGTGCGCCAAGCCATTCGTGCATTTATGAAATTCCAATGTTGCAATGACAATATCAATTCTGCTTACTGTTTATTAAAGGGTTACGGTCAGGGTCCGTTGATCGGCGGACAGAGGCGGTTTCACGCCGGTTTTTCCCGAAGTCGCAAAAGTATGACGTCACAACATTCTGATTGGTCACTTGCAATGTTGATCCTGGAACAACATTTTGTATGATGATCTGGGAACAACACCAACACGAGGATATCAGATCAACCCCTCCTCGGCTCAGTGTGCACCAGGCGAACCTGGACAATCTGAGGCTGCTGTGTGGGGCTCCCTGTGCTGCTGGGGCTCATACAAATTTCCCACATGTGGGACTAATAGAGGTTATCTTATCTTCAGCTCAGAGGGGGCGGGGCCTTCTCCATTACTGCTCCTAATCTCTGGAACAATCAGCACATTAGAGACGCCGCTTCATTGTCCACTTTTAAAACACATCTTCTCATTTTACTGCTTTAATTGAATCTAATGTGCTGGTTCTGTTGTTTCCATTTAATTTGACCTCTTTTTTTATTTCTTCTTTCTTTTTGGGCACGGTGCTTATCACTGTTGCCTCCCAGCAAGAAGGTCCCGAGTTCAACTCCACCATCAGGTCTTTCTGTGTTTGTGTGGGTTCTCCCCGTGTCCTCCGGCTTCCTCCCACAGCCCACAGACATGCAGTTTGTGGAGATTCATTGAAAAAATCTAAATTGCCCATAGTTGTGAATGTGAGTGCGAATGGCTGCCTGTCTTTGTCTGTTGGCCCTGCGACAGACTGGCGACCTGTCCAGGCTGTACCCCGCCTCTGACAGCTGGGATATTCTCCAGCGCCCCCCGCGACCCTGAAAAGGATAAGTGGAAGCGAATGGATGGATGTTTTCTGTTTGTCATGTCAGAACTTTGCTTGCAGCTGGGAGTTGTCTGACAGCGCTTCATGAATTGATTACTTACAGTGTGACTGGTTTTAACTAATATCTGCTGGAATCTCTGCAGACCATCAGTAGCAGCCTGAAGCAGCAGAATTAGAAGAAGTCTCCTTCATGTCTCTAAAGAAGTGCTGACACATTACAACATACTGCAGCACTAATTCATGCACAACTTTCACAGATTAAATAAAAGCTTGTTATAATTCAAAGTTACTGCCTGTATGTTTGACATAGGAAAGCAGCTGTTTGTGCAGCCTCACACATCAACACAACAGTTCAGCTCCAAGTCAGAGAAACACTGAGAACAGCTGGTTACAGAGCAGAGGACAGGATGGAGGATCCACCTCACTCATGTCTGTCTGTCTGTGTTCATGTTCTCCTCTCAGCTCTGCTGCCAGAGGTGGTGGAGGTGCTACAGGGGGAGAAGTCTGTCCTGCTGCCCTTTAAGACCACAGCTGACCTTCCTCAGCACGTCACAGTGGAGTGGACAGACTCCAATGCCATGAAGGTCCACGTGTATGAGAGTGGAAACAATCAGCCAGACAAACAGCACCAGAGTTACAGAGGTCGCACAGAGATGAAGGAGGATCCACTGAGAAACAAAGACCTCAGTCTGACCCTGAAACCCCTCCACCTCACTGACAGTGGAGTCTACACCTGCATCGTCTACAAGAAGGATGGACACATGCTGCAGAAATCAGTGACTCTCAGTGTCAGTGGTGAGTGTAACAGCTGTTTGTCCACAGTGTGAATCCAGCATGAATAAGATCCAACCAGACAGATTCTTGGGTGCTGTTCTTTATTTTAATTGTTTTTAAGATAACCAAATGTCTGGATATGACGGTCTTTGTATCATCATCTTTTTGCTACCACACATAGTTGTAACCCCCATTACTGGTTTCATTCTCAAATGCTGTTTTTCAGAATATGTCCAGAGAGCTTGTATTGCTTTGTTTTCAGTTCGACAGTAATAGGTCCAGCAAAGCTTTGGCAGGAGAACATGCAAAGACATGATTGGTTAGCATTTGTAGCATAGAAACCATCACAGATAGTGCTGAATTTCTCTGTGTTTTTTTCTCAGCAGTGCACACAGTGGGAATATTTAGTCTCATCATCATGGAACAGTAACAGTGAGCTTTTTTATCTGTCTGTGTTCTTCTGTTCTCTCTCAGTTCCTCCGCCAGAGGTGGTGAATGCAACAGATGCAGACGAGTCTGTCCTGCTGCCCTTTAAAACCACGGCCGACCTTCCTCAGCACGTCACAGTGGAGTGGACACTCACTGAACCCACAGAGAGGAAGGTCCACGTGTATAAGAGTGAAAACAATCAGTCACACAACCAAGACCAGGATTACAAGGATCGCACAGAGATGAAGGAAGAGCCACTGAGAACTAGAGACTTCAGTCTGACCCTGAAAAAGCCCCGCCTCACTGACAGTAAAGTCTACACCTGCACCGTCTACAACAAGGATGGACACATGCTGCTACAGAAAGCAGTGACTCTCAGAGTCAGAGGTGAGTGTTACGTGTGAGCTGGTTGTCCACAGTGGGAATCCCTGCATGTGTAAACCTGTGAGTGTGTCCAGCTGTTTGTGCAGCCTCACACATCAACACACAACACTGAGAACAGCAGCTGCTGGTTACACAGCAGAGGACAGGATGGACCATCAACCTCACTCATGTCTGTCTGTCTCTTTACAGAGAATGTGTCAGACATTGTGCAGGTGGCAAAAGACGCGGTGCGCATCGAGCTGCCCTTGAAAACCACAGCTGACCTTCCTCAGGACGTCACAGTGGAGTGGACAGACTCCAATAACAAGAAGGTCCACGTGTATGAGAGTGGAAAGAATCAGCCAGATAAACAAGACCAGAGTTACAGAGGTCGCACAGAGATGAAGGAAGATCCACTGAGAACCAAAGACCTCAGTCTGACCCTGAAAGACCTCCACCTCACTGACAGTGATGTCTACACCTGCACCGTCTACAACAAGGATGGACACATGCGGCTGCAGAAATCAGTGACTCTCCATGTCTATGGTGAGTGAAGCAGCTGTTTGTGTGAATCCAGCATGAATCAGTGAAATCAAAGAGCAGCTGATGGATCTGTGATAACCTGATACGATAAAATAATGTTTCTTATGAGACACAAAAGTGCTGGAAATGAATTTAATAACTGAAAGTGTAATGAGGTATTTTGTGTTTTCTATCTAATATAAGCTGGGTATGTTCTTCACTGAGCTCTCTATCATCATCATCATCACTCTGAGCTGTTAATAAGAAGCTGCTGACACTCACTGATCAGTACAGATGAATATATTTGCTGGCACAGCTACTCCTCAGGGCTCTGCTGATTGGTCGACTTCTTTAATGAGACTTTTTGGTAAATAAGGAACAGAGTGCTTCATCTTCTATATATATTTGATCATAAACTAACATTGTTTAAAATAATAATTAAGACTTTGTTATGGTAAATCAAAGCTGACAGCTAGTGCAGCAGAATCAGAAAGACTTTATTTATCCCCTACAACTAGAGCTGGGCGATAGAACGAAATGTGTTGCGAAAGAACTTTTTCTCGATAGAAAAATTAAACTATTGCGATAGACCTCATCTCTCTTGTCCCCTTTAAAAAAAAAAGAACAGCCAATCCAAATTAGGTAACGCAGAGCCGAACCAATCACAGCCGCAGCGTCGCGTCATGTGACTTGTTACGTACAGCACAAGTGCCAAGCTGCACGTGTGTTTGTTTGGGAAGCAGCCAGCTGCCGTACCGCCCGGGTAATGGAGGAAATGAGTGTGCCGACTAGAGAAACATCAACCGAGCGTGACCGAAGAGAAAACAGATGATGGTTCCAA